ATTTATTCTTTTTTAGTTGATTTTTTTTAAAATCTAATTCTTGAATATTAGATTGATTGAGAATTATAATTTATAATTTATTTCTATTTGTTTTTTATGAGGTTATTTCAGTCTTATAATTCAATTTATCTTTTTTAATTGATTTTTTTTCAATTTTATCCTTTATTATTAAGACAATTATGTATTATGTTTCATAATTTATTTTTATTTGTATTTTATGAACTTATTATAATATCATAAACCAGTAAGTAAAATTAATATGTTAATCCCAGTTAATCTAAGTCAATTTAATTTATAGATGAAATTATATTTTTAAAATCAACTTAATTATATATATGATCAATTTTAAGATGATTTAATTTTTTTTCCTACAAAAATAATACATAACATTTAACTCGATTCACAACATAACTAAAGAATAAAGAATGAAACTATCTCGTTGAAGTGTAGTATCTTGTCATTGTATAGAACAACATATAGTCTTACCACGACCAAAACCCTTAATTATGTAACTGTACCCAAGACCTTCATGCGCAGCTCGATAATCTAATCCATTGAACATCGGTACGAGATCGTGTGTTAACTTCAATGGTTTTTTTTTTTTTTTGGTTGTTGTTGTTGCTGCTGCGGAGGAGGAGAAGGGCCTCGAATTCCAATGCCTTTGTATCCTCTACCTGAATATCTCCACCTTGTCTACATTCACCTCTTCGACTATCCACGAGAGTCAGTCGTCATCAACGACGCATGATCATCTTTCCATTGTCCACTATATTTTAACCTGGTCATCAAGAAGCACTGCGACACAAATTGATTTCAGTTGTCTCGAGCCTCGGACAAGATCATTTTCATGGCTTTGCTTGTTTAGTGTACATTTAATTCACGCATTTAAAAAAATAAAATAAATATTTTTTAAATAAAAAATATTTTTAAAATTATTTATAATTATATTTTCAAACAAGTTTTTAGTGAGCATTTGAAAACATGATCATACATTTATTTTCAAAAAAATTAATTTTTTTATATGTTTTGGTACGTTAATTTCAAAAATATTTTTTAAAAAAATAAAAAAAATATTATTTTAATACATTTCAACATAAAAAACATTTTAAAAAGTAACCACAACTATACTTTCAAATAGGCTCAAACATACTGGTCTCTCTTGTGCTCGCGTAATTGGCTATTTTGAACAAGCATGGCATGATTTGTGTTTTTAATTAAATTTTATTATTTAGTTATAAATTAATAAAAAAATATTTCTTATATTTCTTATTCTATAATATAATAAAATAAAATTAATTTGACTTAGCCGAGTTCATAATTTGGATTGTAAGTTTAATAGCAGGACTAAATATTAATTGAAGAGCCGAGTCACGGTTTTTTTTGCTTTTTTTATAAATATTTTTTTAATTTTATTATTTAATATGAATTTTTTTATTGATTTTTATCCTACAGTATTGAGTTGGTGATAAATCAATTTTTATATTTTTTATTATATAATAAAATATAATAAATAATTTAATCTAGTAAAGTCTATAATTCAAGTTGTAAGTTTGAAAAGTTAATTAAATATTTATCAAAGAGTTGAGTTGAATATTTTAATAAAGTAAAATAATCAATGTGAATTTCTTAACTCGAATTATAAATTTGATAGGTTAACTAAATAGTAATAAAAAATTAATATAGGATTTTTTAACTATTTTTTTATATCTTTTTTTGTTTTTATTTTGTATCTATCATATAGATCTTTTTTTGTTTTTATTTTGTATCTATTATACAGGGGTAAGTTTTTTTTATTAAATTTTATCTTTTAATAATTGAGACAATAATAATTAATTTTTATATTTTTGATCACATAATAAAATAAAAAAATTAATACAACATGGTAAATTTAATATATTAACTAAATAATAATTAAAAAGTGGAGCTATAAGTTTGAATAGATGCCAGATTTTTTTAATAATCTAGATATAATTTTTTTTATTAAAAAAATTAAATCCAACCACCAACGAAATTGCGGGCAATAAACTAAACGCCGTATTAATGAGTTGTCTGAAAATGTGAGCAAAGAGAGGACAGCCATAGGTGTAAAGAAAATAAAATAATGTGCGAATACACAACCTATATATTTTGATTTTTTGCTCGCACATGAACCACATTGAATTTAAGCTGAAGAAAAAATCATGACTCCTTATGAGCAGGCTAGGGCTCGACACGTGTAGGTGTCGGTTAACTTGACAACTTATCAAGGCCGTGAGTTGCATGAGAAAATGGCTTTCCCCATTTAATTAATTAATGTTCATAAATATTTAATGCTCTCTATACTATATATTAGAACCTAAGGTGGCGGCTTCTTTGGCTTCACACCTCCAAAATGGGCAGAGGAGCTACCTCTAGTTCTTCATCTTCTTTTGAAAGCACCAACTACCCATCTGTATCAAGCAAGTCCTCTCTCTCTCAGCGAAAGAAAGACCTAAGCACAGATCTCAGGCTTGGACTTAGCATCTCAACCTCTCAACAGGAGAACCCTTCTACACCAAGGTACATGCGCGTCTAATTAGTAATTCAATAAACCAATACCTCACATTTGAAGAAATTTGTTGTCAGCTCAATTAAAGTATTGTTTTTTCGTGATCTGATATGAACCAATTCAGTGATCAGCAACTTTCGGACTGGCCACCAATCAAGCCATTTCTAAGGAAGGCATTGGCGTCAGAAGAAAATGAGTGCAGTAGTGCCACCTTCTTCGTCAAGGTTTACATGGAAGGCATTCCGATTGGAAGGAAGCTCAACCTCTTAGCCCATGATGGTTACCATGACTTAATACAGACTCTTGACCAAATGTTCAACACTAGCATTCTCTGTTAAGTATCTTCTTAATTTATTGTTACTTAATACAGACTCTCGACCAAATGTTCAACACTAGCATTCTCTGTTAAGTATCTTCTTAATTTATTGTTTTTGTTCCATTTTCATTCACTAGCATTCTTTCAACTTCTTCTTCTTCTTCTTCTTTTTTTAACTAAAGTATGTAAAAATAATCAAGTTGAAAATGATTAAGCAGGGCCTGAAATGGATATTGAACATTCTGGGCAATGTCATGTGTTGACATATGAAGACAAAGAGGGGGATTGGTTGATCGTTGGGGATGTTCCTTGGGAGTAAGTTCCATCTTCTTTCTTTTTATCATATATTAATCTTTCTCTGTTAACATCAAGTAGTAACAAAACTAAACATGCTCGAGCTATATTAATCTTTCTCTGTTAACATCAAGCGGTAACAAGACTAAACATGTTTGAGCATATATATATGTGTATGTATGTATGTATTGATTTGTTTTCTTTAATCTGTAGGATGTTCTTACCTTCTGTGCGGAGATTGAAGATCACTAGGGCAGACAGCCTATGAATTTGGTTCATGATCGATGCTTATGCGGTCTCCTTTTGTCTCCTTGACACATATATAATATGGCGAGTCGAAAATAAATAGGTAGTGGATAGCTAGGTAACTCTATATGAAGTGTTGAGAATCACGTCTGCACATGTACATCCTTGGGATAAATGATGGAACAAAAGTTGTCTTTTGATTGTAAATTAACGATTTTCTCAGATTCAGTGTTCTTTTCTTTTGGGCAAATCTATTCCAAATTTCCAACACCAGCAAGGTGTTAGGGCCCTAACTAACAGCGGGAATAATTTTAATAATTTTATGTTAATTGTGGTCTGGGCAGTTGTCATGGTAATCCCTGCAAATTACTACTACTAAATTTTTACTTTATTTTCTGACAATGAATTACTATTTATTTTTTAAAATCGCTCATGATCAATTGTTACCTCAACGAGTTAAAAGGGCAATAATTGAATCTTACTACTGGCAATATTGTTTAATACTAAGAAATCTCTGGGGAAACTGGGAAATTCCACACCAAACTATGCACTCAAACTGAACTAAATTTATTTTGGTAAAGTGGATTTTTGGTTAATCCGATCAATTCCCTTCCATTAGCTTCTTTTTTTCTCTCTTCTAATTCATTCATGCTGGGTCCATTGACGTGTGATTGTTTTTTCTTGGCCCTTTTGAGTCCACCAACCACTCATGCCATTACCGCCAGCGGCCAGGCTATTCGTTCGATTTTGGTGTCCCTTTTAGTGCATAAACCATTTAGCCCAAGAGGATAAAATAGAATACATGTATTGGTCAATCTGGGTGACCAAATCTAAGATCTACCAATGCGAGATGAAAAATAAAATCTAGATAGTTTTTCAAAAAGTCTATCAGCGTAGGCCTATTTGTTTTTGCATTTTAAATAATATTAATTTTTTATTGTTTTTGCATTTTAAATAATATTAATTAAAAAAAAAACAATATTTAACAGACATAGGGTTGTTTCTGCTTATCTTATGCTCTAGGGATTTTAAAAGCATCCATGTTTATCTACTCGGGCTCAAAGCCCAACCTTTCATTTAAAACAGAATTCTGCTACGTAAGCCAGGTCTAGGAAATAAGTAGGCTTGGCCCATATTTTATTTTCTTAGTACAACTACACTCGAGTTGAGGAAGCCGGGATTCATGATACTAATTTCCTCCTGGTCTGGTATGATGCTAGGTCATCATTTACTGGCAGCGTTCACTGCATTTTTGTTCTTCTTTTCTACTGTATTTCTTCTTTAATAGATTGCAAATAAATTCTGATGGCTATGATTATTTTAAAGTATTATAACTATCGTGTTCTCAGTGTAAATACTTAGTAGTTTATAGTTAATTAATAAATATTTATTTATCACTTAAATAATATTCTCTGTCTTCTCTAAAGTAACATATATATATATATATTTTTTTTTATTGAGATTATACTTAATTGATCGCAACTATAATTAAACAGTAACTAGCTAAATTATGAAAAAATAAAAATCTTTTATGGTGTATTAGGTAATAATCAATAAACATTTATTTATTGTAAAATAAATAATATTTTTCTTTCAAAGATAACGACATACCTTTCGAATAATAATAATAATAATTTTTAAGGTACTAACTAATAAAACAAATTATTCAGATATAATTAATAAAAATATTCAATAATTTATAACATAGTTATAAAAACCTAGTCTAAACTCAACCTAAATTATAGGATGGGTAAATCAACCTTAATTGATTTGAATTAATTTCAAATAATATTATTTTATTTAAAAAACAAAAATAATATAATTTTAGAATTTTTTTAATAAAAAAATCAAATTATATCTCATACTAAACTTTGATGGGTTAACTTGTTAGGTTTACTAGGTCATCTCTTAAATTACTTAAATTAGTTCAATAAAATACTTGAACTAGATTTTGAATCAATGAATTATCAAAGGGATTCATACATTGAATTGAGTTTATTTAATTGGTTTATAACTCGATTATAATTATAATGTTTTGAAGTAATTATAAAAAATGATTAAAAACCAAACACGGCAAAACTTTCTCCTAACCAGCTGAGCATGTCGGAAATTCAATTTCATCACATTCATACATCATATAAAAGATAATGGGAGCTGATGAAACGTTCCTTGTCGCTTCCTTTTAGCCTCTCTTTCTTGATCATTTTTTAATGTACGCTCAAAACAGCTCAGTAAATTAACGATATTATTCATAGAGTCTTCAGAAGTCAACTGGATCTCTTAACAAGTATCATTTGCATAATCACTGATCATTACAAAAGCTAACCACGACAGCATTCCACAACCCCAAATTAATGAAAGTAGAACCCGACACAGAACTTAATATTTAGTTAAAAGGATTTCTGATGTTCACAATCTAAGTTAGACCCGGTGCTAACATTGAATAATGTAGCATATCTCTGAAAAAATCCAATCCGATCATTGGCTCGTCCATCATTAGGTATTCCACATTCAAGACCACCATTGATAATGTTAGTCACCAACCCGTAGCCGGCCGTCCGATTAGCTATTACATCAGCCGCCGTTGGCTTATATTTCCCGATCATGACGTTGTGGCAAGATGGTTTTGGGTTCTGCTCAGTCATCCAAAACCAAAGAGCTGTCTTGAAGGCAATTAAGGAATTGTTAGACACCATGTCTGGGTTGTTAAGCCCATCAAATCCCAGGGCCTTGCCTGCTGGTCCATAATTGTAATTCCTGCCACAATATTATAAGTTTAATTAAATATTGAAATCAGCATGAATTCTGAATGCAGTGCTCGTGCTAAATGAGTAAATAAATACTACCATGATAGTTGAATAGGTCCTCTTCCTTTGTAGGATTTGCCCGGAGAGCATGGCCACTGAGTGTTGCTTGAGTCACAGTAATTACTCTGTGGAGTCACTTCTTCCTTGAAGCATAACCCCCATGCAAATGGTCCATCGGGTGCGGTAGCCCACCCGCCTGTGGTCTCATGGGATATTTGAGCAAGAAAAGCTGCAACTTCTCGCTTCCTCGTAATGGAACTTCCTGTCCTGCCAAATTGAGGAAAACATCTAGATGCTTGAATGAAGGAGTTGTACGTGTAAAAACCTTTAGCAGGGCATGCGTTGTTGTCCTTGTGTAGGAATATAGAATCAAAGAGGCCTTCACTAACAAGAGAAGAGATGTCATTGAATCTCCTAGCTTCAGCTTTATACGATCCAAACGAGAGGAAGATGGTGTAAAAAACGAATGACAAGAAAGTATAAGCAGAAGATGCCATTTTGTCTTTGCTGAAAGGGGTTGTATTTGATGCTTAAAGAGGCGAACGAGGCCTTATATATATAGGTCTTAAGCATGGTTGTGTTTAGGTATTTTACTTGTTAAAATCTGATCAAGTCAGAGATGGAGATTTTGACTCGCTATGCATGTACTGTTTATAAATTTCAAAAACTCATCAATAGGTCCCTTTATTGACTGGTTCAAATGGTATTCGCAGTTGACTAGGTACGTAGATATCCCATTATTTTCAGCCATTAACGATCTCTACTTCAGAGTCTATAGCCTTTATACCAAGGTGGAAAATGTCGACACCAAGCACAACAGGTTACGGAGTTTCTGCTGAACATACTCTCTCTATTTTTATTGTCATTTCTACATGGCATCCAATTACAGCGAATTCGCTTATTCTTTAATAACACATGTTGATTTCTGACTAAGCAATCTCTTCCCACAGGCCACAGCCTACAAATCATAGGCCAAACAAAGAACATGTGAGATATTGCACATGATGACTTAAAGAAAATCTCCAATGCAAGATGCTAGCTATTTTAAAGTGTAAAAATGTTAATATGGTACGTAGTGGAGAGGGAGAAGGAAATATGCTTTACCTTTTATCCCAAGAAGTTTAAATTCATTTTCTTTCCGCGTAGCTTTTTTTTTATTAGCTCCACTTTATCGGTTTCGGCCATTTCTTTTAAGACATGTAAGAATAATTTTTATAGGAGAGAAGAGTCATTTTGGCTACCCTTTCACCATTCCTGCTGGAGCTACTAATAATTGAGGAGAAAAAAAGCTTAAAGGATAGTTTTTTTTTTTTGTGGCTTCGGCTTCTATTTTACCACCTGCGTTGGAGATGCCCTAATGAACCTTATCGGGGGCATTAGCAACAAGATCTTCGGGTCAACGTGATATGGGGCGGCAGAGTCAACATATATTTTAATTCAGAAATGACATTTCACTTATGTGAATTACAAAACCTAAACAAGTAGAGAAACCACTTTATATTATTCTTGATTTATTATGGATTAAAATAGTTAACTAACTGAATTGCTCTAAAAAAAATAAGGGGTAAAATAGTCCTTTTGCTAGGTCTATTTATAATTTTAGAATTATTTGGGGTATCTCTAAAATTACTTATTTACCCTTAAAGTTAAAAAATAACTATGATTTATAGGCTTTTTCAGAATTTTTTTGGCATGCATAGTGTAACTATTTTATTTTCCTTGGAATAAAAAAATCTTATGCTTTGCTTTAAGGGTGTGTTGGTATTTTATATTGATTTTTTTGTTGTAATTATCAGGTTTAGAAGTGATTTGATAGCTTGATTAATAAACAAATAATAAAAAAAGAAAAAAATTATAGGCGTAAGGGGGTGAGTCATTTTGCCATCTTTAGATGACGTTTGTGGTGGGTTGCGACGGGGAAATATCAGCTTTTTTGGTGTTTTTCGATTCGCAATGGCAAGGGCCAACTCTCCACGCATCGCACATGACTTAATTCCAAGTGGTTTGGCTGTGATTGTTTTTTTTTTCTTTTCTTGTTTTTTTTTCCATCAGTTTTCGTGTTTTTTTTACAACATTTCACATCAATCCTTCAAGTTTTTTTAATATAGAATTTTGTCTCTTCTCTTTTATTTGCTATTTTTTATTTGAATTAGTTTAATAAATTGTTTTTTTTTTCAGATTTCATTCACTGTCAATTTTTATTTTTCATTTTAGATTTGGTTATTATTTTTTTATTACAATTTATTTTATTTTAAATGGTTTTTGAAAATGATTTTTTTTTCACAATTTCATCCTTCATTATATTTACATATCATATTTTATTTTTATTTATTTAATTATTATTTTTTTATTTTAATAAGTTTTTTAAATTGATTTTTTATTTCACATTTTAATATTAAATTAAGTTTTTTTAACTGTTTTTAAATTTAGAATTTAAT